TCTCATTTAGAGAGAGAGAAATTAATCAAACCCCACCTTGATTTCTTCACTAGATTTTAGAATTTCTTCATTTTCCCCTTCTTTTCTCTTGTGAAATTTAATGGGTTTCGTTTAGTTCTTACAAAAAAGGCCAAAAAACGACCAAATTTGGGGATCGGAGTGTTCATGTCAGCAGCAAAAAGGGAAAAAGTTAGAAAATTTTCAATTTTATTTCCATTTCCCATATGGGTTTTGCGCTGAGAGGAACCTCGGATCCCTTTATGATGAATATGATCCGCCATGGAAGGGATCAATTGAAGCTGTCAAGAAAGTTGTAATTTTTGGTTTAATTTCAAGTAAGTTTGAGTATTGTTATGTTGCATTGTACATATTGGGGAGAAATGCAGTTGATTTTACACTATTTTCAGCAGGTTTGTGGGGTTTAGTGGGGGATGGTATATGTTGCTCTTCCTCAGTCAGAGATCAGCTGAGTAAGGAATTTGACTTTTTTTGGTGTTTTTTCAACTTTTGTGTTCTTGGTGGGGCTGGGTATAATGGTGTCATGGTATAGAGAGGAAAGGGGAGATTTGGTTCTTTGGAAAACCTTTGTATTGATCACTTCATTCAGCTCATCATATGGTTTGATATGAAATTCATAATGATAGCATGGTATTTTAGCTATATTAAATATATTATAGCTTTAATAAAACGCTATAAAATGTTTTTATAGCAACGTATATAAGCTATTATTTCATACTCTATTATAACATTTATTATAGTTATGAAAAAACGCTATGAAAATTCTTAGAATTTTAATAATATGGACTGCCCTGACGTACTAAAAACGCTAGATAGCATTTTTCGTAAGCTGTCGTATCTATTTTTTTCTTGTAGTGAGCTTTCTTGTTTTTCTATTGTTTAGTTGGTCTTTTTTATAGCGATTTGGAATTCGATTTTTGTTTTTGAAAGTTGTACTTAGTGTTTTTAGGTGCCAAATTTTGAAAACAAAAATAAGTTTTGAAAGAAGCTAAATTAATAAAAAATACTTTTGAATTTAAGGTTTATTTCAAAAAATACTTTTAAATTTTCAAAATTTTCATTAATATCCTTAAAATATTTTAAAAAGTTAAAAAATTCCCTTGGGAAGGGAAATCGTTACAATTTTATTTGAAAAATCACGTTGAACTTTTAAGAGTTTCATTAATACCCTTAAATTTTTTAAAAGTTCAAAAATATCCTCATGAAAGTCCACCTCGACTAATTTAGAGAATGATCCTAGATTTATAATCAAAGAATAGTCTCTCGGTTGGTATGAGGTCTTTTGACGAAGTCCAAATCAAAGTCTTATGCTCAAAGTAGACAATATCATACTACAGTGGAGGGTTGTGTTCTTCTCACAGCAATGATTAATATTATTTTTAAACATATTAGTGAAAGTTTTAAACAACCTTTCAAAAACTATTAAAATCAAAATCCAAATAGAAGTAAAAAATAAAAGAATTATAAATAAGAGCAGGCACAGCTGACATAGGCAATGGACACATGGAAATCCTGTCTCTCAAAACCTCTGTCTAATCAGCAAAACGAGTAAAGGCAAGCAAGCATGCATGAAGGGTCCTTGTCTTTTACACACAATGACATTTCATATTATACATAAGTTAAAACTCCAAACTTATAACATTTTAAATCTTAACCTAATCGAATCAACCTTAGCTTCATTCATATGAACAAAAAGACAGACATATTGTGTCGTTTTTTATACGAGTATTACGTCCAAAAATGGATGAACTCCTATTCATTTCGATTTCATTCAAATAACCTGTTATAAACCTATGATAACATGTCATGTCGTATCAAAATGGATAGCCACTTCATTTCTTTTTTTAAAATTGCACAAAAACACCTTTGAATTCTCGTATTTCTTACCCTCACGCCTTTGTCCTTTTTATATTATTTATAAATCAGTCTCTTGAACTTTGTCGTATATTGTAATCATACCTTTGAATTTTTAATTTGATCTTCTCGTTACATATCGTTATCAGCCTCACAGTTTTAAAATGCATCAACTAAGGAGAGGTTTTCACACATTTATAAGTAATGCTTTGTTCTCTTTTCCAACCGATATGAGATCTTACAATCTACTCCGTTGGGGGCCAACGTCCTTACTAACACACCACCCAGTGTCTAACTCTAATATCATTTGTAACAGTCCAAGCCTACCGCTAGCAAATATTGTCTGCTTTGGTCCATTACGTATCTCCATCAGTCTCACGGTTTTAAAATACATCTACTCGAAAGAAGTTCTGACACTTTTATGAGAAATGTTTTGTTTTCTTCTCCAACCGACGTTAGATCTCACAATGTTAGTAAGATAAAATAAATATATTATTGACAAATTTAAAAAAATACAAAGAGTACTTGATCAAATTAAAAGATTTGAGGACTTAATTGCAATAATCTACAAATTATAGGGGTAGATCGTAAAATAAAATGGGTTGGTGTGTTATGGGGGAAATTTGGAGCCGACCACTTGTTTGTGTGTTATAAGAATTGAAAAGTCCACAACATCAATCAAATCAAAGTCAAATCGATGGACCATATTGATGTGGATTATTGTTCTTCCCATGCATCTGTCAGCTACGGCACCCTAACGCGAGTGGCCTCACTTTTAGATTCCTACCATTTTCTACCTCATTTTCATTCTCAATAAGAACAAATATCTCGTGAAGCCTAAAAAATTCTTGAACAAAGTACATTATTTGTTCAACACTTCAGTCACTTTAGACTACATGTTTGAGGTTCAGAATTTTTTTGTTTGACATTTGAAGATTCTATTGACATGATTAAATTAAGGGCACGACTCTAATACCATATAATAAAACTTTCATAGTTTTGCTTTGGGTTTCTTCATAGCATCTCATACCAATGGAGATATATTTCTTATAAGCCCATAATCATTCTCTAAATTAGATAACGTGGGACTACCTTCCAGCAATCCTCATTAATTACCATTGCTTTTATGCGAAGGATATGAACAGAAGAAGAAGAATGGAAGCTTAGTTTTTCGATTGAATAAGTCCCTATATGGGCTTAAACAATCACATAGATGTTGGAACAAACGTTTTGATGATTTTCTAACTTGAATCAACTTCAAACCAATCACTTAAATGTTTTAATGACTTTCCAACGCTTCAAGCTGAGAGTAAAAGACTCTGTTTGATGGAGAAAATTTGTAACAGATCAAGTCCACCACTACTAGTTATTGTCTGATTTGGGCTTTTTCTACCAGAGCTTGCCCTTGAGATTTTAAAACGCGTCTACTAGAAAGAGGTTTTTATACCCTTATAAGGAATGTCTCGTTCCTCTCTCTAACCAATTTGAGATCTCACAATCCACCCCCCCTTGGAAGTCCAGTGTTCTCGCTGGCACACACCCGGTGCCTGACTCTGATATCATTTGTAACAGCCCAAGGTTACCGCTAGCAGATATTGTCCTATTTGGATTTTTCCTTCAAAGTTTTCAAAACACGTCTACTAGATAGAGGTTTCACACCTTTTTAGAGAATGTTTCGTTTTCCTCTCTGACCAATGTGAGATCTCACAAAATTTCTTATTCTATTGTAAACTATGGTTTGTACTAGACCCAAACTAGCTCACCGTTCAGCTTGGTGAGCTAGTATATGGGTAATCCCCGTAAGAGCCACCGGGAAGCCAAAAAGTTTGTATTCAAAAGAATGGACTTTTTGTTCAAATATCCCTATCCCAACTCAATAAATTTAGCGTTGGCGGGTTACTCTGTGTTTATGCAATGATCGGGCACCTGAAGTCCCCAACATTCTTTTAGTGGTCTAACCTCTCATCCCTCTTTGTGTTTATGTAACATATTGGATTGAGCATCTGACGCCTCGACATTCCCTTACAATCCTTATGATATGATCCTGCTACCTCTTAAATTACTTCTAACTGTGAAGACGGTAAATCAATATGAATTATTTTAACATATTTTATTTTTACTCACATATTTTTTTAGAAAATTTACATAAGATCACCAAATATGCAAAAACAAGCTTAATTACAAGTTACAACAAAACTTTTAGCAGGTAAGTAATTTAAGGAGATGTACCACCCATTCTTGTAGTTTCTAAGCTGGATTTTTTTTTTTGTAACTTCAAATCATTTCTGTTTTGTTTTTTATCTTTTGTTCTTCGTATTCATGAGGTAGATGAAACGTGTGAGTTTTCTGTGATATTTTGTTAATATGGTAGTAATTATTAATTATTTAGAATATCATATTCTTAGAATTACTCTCATTCGAATGTGTTATTTATTCACTCACATACTCCTCCCCGATGATAATGATAAGTATTAGTATTGAAATTATAATTACTTCATATTAGTGATCCAACGTTCGTTAACGCCCAACAACTTCCTCGATATCTATGGTTGATGTCACTAATATATACTCAATCAATAGACATTATAAAAATCATATGATAAAGTTTATTTATTCGAAAGGATCATTATTATAACATTTGATATTAGGGCAGAAGTTTGGCCAAATCCAAATACAGTGACCCAATCAACAATTTTCCAAATTTACGTGCATTCGTCAAAGTTGTGATAAGATATGTCTACAAAAATTAAAATTTTATTCTTTCATAAATTACGATTCTCAATAGGAATCTGATTTCATTTCATTTTGAATCGACTAAACTGGGAATTATTGCAGATCAAGATCATTCACGAAGAGCCAGTTTTGAAAAGGATCTTTCAAGGTGGTGGCAGACCCAAAGCAAGAATATTTTTAGCTTACTCACAAACCCACTTCATATGAACTAGTTGATTTTTAACGATAAGATTCTCACACTCAAAAAGTTGATTTGGTTCATTATAAATTTATTATATATGAATCGATTGAAATTGGACTCGACGTGATTAACACAAAATTTTCGAACCCACAAAAAGGAAAAAAAAATTGTAATTTGCAATAATTGATATATATTCTTTGAAACTAGGCGTTTGTTAAGAATCATGAATCTCTACAATGATGTGATATTGTCCACTTTGAACATAAACTTTCGTGGTTTTGCCTTGTGCTTCCCCAAAAGACTTCATACCAATGAAGATGTATTCATAACATGGTATCAGAGTCATGCCCTTAACTTAGCTATGTCGATTAAAGAAGTTGTGAGCCTCGGTGTAGTTAAAAGTGACTCAAGTATCGAAGAAAGGGTGTACCTTGTTCAAGGGCCCTAGATAAGGAGTCGAGCTCAAATTAAGGGGAGGCTGTTCGAGGACTCCAAAGGCCTCAGGGAGACTCATGAATTTAGGGAATAATCATGGGTTTATAAGTAAGAAATACATCTACATTAATCTGAATCATTTTGGAGAAGTTGAAAGCAAAGCCATGAGGGCTATTACTTAAATCGAACAATATCATACCATTGTGGAGAGTCGTGATTTCTAACAGCATTCAAGGAGGACGAGTGTTTGATTCTTTGTTATGATCATCACCACTAAAACTCCGATGAACCCAACTTTGCTCCGGTAATCCAAACGAGTAAACCCGTGGATCCATAGCCGTTTGATGAATCGCTTCCGACGACGGAAAATACCCACCACCCAAATAACAAGAATTCTCGAAAACTCCGACAGTTTCCACCTCCAAAGACGGCGGCGCGTTTTGGGTCTCCGGTGAAGACTGAATGGCGGCGGCGGAAGAAGAAGAAAAAGAGGGCACTGGTTTTTGGCGCTTGGCCTTTCTACAGCCGCCGCCGATGGGGACGTTACGTAGAGTGCCACCTTTAGTCCAGTACCTCCGACAAGACTTACAAAAGTAACGAGGTTGGGAAAGGCTGTAGTTATTGTAATAACAAAATTTGGTGTTGAGAGACTCACAGCGAGGGCACTTTTCAGTGCTTTGTGGGCGAGCTAGTGTGGATTTCATTTCTTCGTTTGGTGTTGCAGCTCCTTGCATTATTTTGAGAGCTTCCAGATGATATCTAGCTCTTCATTTTTTGGTGTGTGGGTTTTATTATATTGTAGGTATTGTGTTGCGTAGATTTGAAGGGAAGGTGTTGACTTTGGAAGTTTGGAGTGTGTCACAATCGTAGTCATTCATACGTCAATCAATTGAAACTCGAATCATCGGTGCCATAAAGGAATCTGGAATATGATGATCGAGTCGATGCATAAAAAACGTTCACACTATTTACCGGTATAGTCTCTAGATCGGCTACAATGAAAGGGTTAGCCGAAAAATGGTTATCGGTTCAAGGATTTCATTGGACCCTGAAATGATACATTGGAAGAATCTTTTGGTTCTTCCAATGTCAATAAGTTGATTTTGAGCAGGTTCGACCAGAAATGCTATGCTTACACAATACTACCCCTCCTCTTGAATCTTAAAAAAGAAACGGTAGATACAACTAGTCCGTATTTCGAATTGTTGTTGACACGAACAAAGTCAAGAAAAACCTCTGAAATTATTTCAATATTGGACTTTGGACGCCTAATAGTTGTGAATCGAATCTCTTTAGAGAGGAGATCTTTTGTTTGTCTCATGGTAGCCTAATGTTGAAGAATTAGCAGATATGTCTTGTCCAAGAAAGAAACCCAAGTCCTAACAGACCCGCTAAATGGTGATTCAACATCGATTCTATATCTTGGAACCAAGCCAATTTTAGAGCAAATCAGAAAATAAGATTTGGAAAGAATCCAACGAATACATAGAAAAAGTTTTTAAAAAATACTTTGAAGAAAATTCTACGAAAACAAATGTTATATGCTAATGAGTAATAAAAAGACGACATCAACTATTTATAGCGTATAACTCGGTAAAAAGATTTGACGACTACTTGTATCTTCCTATGGTACATTACGAAACAAATTGTTTCGGACAAGCTTAAACATCAAAAATGGCAAAATGTTGTATGCTTATAAAATCAACAAGGAAATAAAATAACCATATACAATAGACATGTAATGAAAATATGAATAAATGGGTTGTCATAGGCATACGGCTACGAGCAATATGCGTTGGGTAAGCATGATAATAGCAATGTTGCCCACTTAAGATCTTCCACTTACTCATAGATAATCTTTGCATTAGGGAGCCATTTCTACCCACAAAGAGCTCTTGAATGTTACATCATGGCTTATCCGCTTGTCATGTTCTTTAGGAGATGATCTCTATTACTTCTTTTTCAAAAGTATTGTTCACCGTAACAGGATGTCGTGTCATTTCATCGCGTGACATTCTACCTTGGAATTATAGTGTCATGTGCTTTTCATCGACCTTCATGTTTTACACACGGTCCACATGTGCGAGTATGGACCCACCAGTCGATTCGCTCACCTCCTAGCCCCTTTTTTTGTCGTTCGAGCATTCTCTAGTAGTTGTTGATGTCGGACACCTGTTTAGGAATAGCAACCGTCGCAGCGTCAGGATAAACATAATGATCATTTTCCTACCTTACTACTGCAACATTATGATAAACACAATGATCATTTTTCTGTTGGGCTATTGCAGCATTATGATATCCATAATGATCGTTTTCCTGCCTCATAACACGCGTCCATACCACCGTAAAAAAGGGTATCCCTCAATGCATGAATACACAATAATCCATGAGGTCCCAACATTTTTCCATTTTTATTATCATTTAAACAACTCCCACAATGATCATTTTTTCAACTGGCCGTTGTAACATTATGATATCCATAATGATCGTTTTTTTGTCTCGTAACACGTGTCTGTACCATCGTAAAAAGGGGTATCCCCCAATGCAAGAACACACAATAATCCATGAGGTCCCAACATTTTTCTATTTCATTATCATTTAATACGACTCCACTAGCATTTCGTAAATATCATATCGTTTTTCATATCATTTCTCATATCTTCCATGCACACACCGGAGTTTTGTGATACTTAACGAACCGGAGCAGATTTGAACCTGAAGAAAAAAGGATAAATATTGTTAAGAGAACTATTTATAAATCTGCCTTAATGGGCTTGAGATAATTGATGCTAATTAAGAAGAAAATATAGAAAATTGAATGGCCTCCTTTGTGTTTTCCTTTATTGTTTAATTAAAAATAACACAGCTGTGTTTTTCCATCACAATCAAAAATAGCAAATTAAAGAGAATTGATATTTATAACCATGCAACATATATAGATATCCAACCTCAAAACATTCATACCATTTAATATTTTGTATGGATATTAACTTTAAATTACCTTTCTAAACACGATTAAGAGCTTGTTCTAACGCATGTTTTGTTTTACTATATAATAAACCAAAACTTAAATGGGTAAGCATCAACAAAAGAGCCTCGAGTATCTAAAAAAAAAATGAAGCCTCTAACTAGTTTATGTTATATTTTATTATTTGCTTTAGAATCAAGCATTATTATTAACACATGTTTTGCAGGATCCAAAATAAACGTTATAGGGAGTAAAGGACAAGAACCAGGGGGCAAATGGCAAGTTAGTATTTACAATTATCAAACAAACTCAGTTTTAAATGTTCATTGCAAGTCAAAAAATGACGATTTGGGCGAACACGTTTTGGAGAAGCAAGCCCAATTCAACTGGAGATTCAGAATGAACTTTTGGCGTACGACTTTGTTTTGGTACAATTTTAATAGTTTGAATGGACATGCTTCATTTGAGGTTTTTTGGCCAGAGAACACGTATTGGCTTTCTCCACGGTGTGATAATAAACACTGCATTTGGGCAGCTTTTGATGATGGATTATACTTGAAAGATATTCCTGCCGAGAAGTTTGAATTGATACACCATTGGGAAAAATGAAATAAAATCTCCCTCACTCAATTTGCTCCCACAAAACCTACTTTTTTTTTTCTTCTTCGTGTTATGTTTGATTGCTTACACATGTAATAATTCAATAGAGAGTTGTTGGGTTTCTTTATAGACCTAAGATGTCGTACATTTGAAGCCAATAAAAGTGGGAGGAATCTTTTGGGATTTTAGAATTTTTTTAATGTTATAATGTGCTTAAGTTTCGTGTTTTTACTTGTAACGACTCATACCCAAGATTTGAAATCTGAATTTGGTACTCAATGGCCCTAGCATTCCCGTGATGATATGGTCAAGTTACTTACTCCTTGTTTCTAAGAGTTAAAACTATCCGCACAAACCAACATGAGTTTTTCTAACATGTTTTGTCCTCACTCACGTGTTTGCTACAAAATTCTCAAAAGGTCAACCAACATAAAATTGCTCCAGTTGAATTGGGAGTTGCTATTGTTGAGCCATGAGAAAAGAAAGTACATCTAGTTGATATGGGTAGTAAGTTTCCATTCTTTTTAAGCTTTTTTATCATCTATACTCTCGATTGCTTTCATTCGAATGATTCGTTCATGTATTTTCTTTTACTCAAGTATCACACTACTCAAAACCCTTTCATTATTGAGGAATATTTGTGAGTTTAAACCGGAATGGGTAACAATTTAGATGAAAAGAAAATATATATGATAATAGCTTTGGTAATCCGTGGAAAGTGGCGGGGTGCGTCATGGGTGTTGGAACGAAAACTCCAGTGTTCGTCGGAGTTTTCGAGTCTCGCTGGAGACCACGAAAGTTATATGATTTTTTTTTTTTCGATTCGTTAAAAGGACCTAACATAACCATCTATTTTCTTACTCTGGCTATCCTAACAACCAATTTAAATGTATACTTAATTTCACCGTACACGATCCACACGTACGAGTATGAACACACCAGTCAGTTTGTACATCTCTCAATAGTTGAGAAAGGGACAAGTAGCTGAGAATGTTAAAAAGGGAGGCAAAATGTTAGCCTCCAAGAACTCAACATACGGGGTATCCGAGGTGCAGATGTCCTATGTCCAAACTCGGTATATGGAGACAAAAACTGCAAAGAAACCTATTAGCAATAGATTTATAACTCAATACAAATTTAACCATTCTATAGCCCCTGAAGGTATGAGCCTTCCTAGAAAAAGGAAAAGAAAAGAGGGCTAGGATTTTTGAAAGAGGAAGTTGAAATGTGAGATTCAAACTCAAAGTCGGGAATTCAGGACGGTTTTTGGTCGAGAATCCTTCACGAAAGTGGCTCAAAACATGATTCTTTATAGGTTTAGATTTTGAATTACCAAAATCGAGAATCGAAAAAGAATTGAAGGTATGATTTATGAATTTAAGGATAGTGTTTCGGTTTAAATTATAACTTTTAGGTGATTACTTACTTCTAAAATTTGTTCATACTTGGAAGGTCGATTTTGGTTTCAAGTATGAAAATGATAAGAATCAAGAAACATTCTTACTTTGGGTGAGAATATTTTTGTCCACATTTGATGAAATTGCATGTTTGATTTCTTTACTAGAAGATGTATAAACCTTCCGTTTAAGTGTGTTTTTACCATATTTACATTATTTATTAATAATGAATAATAAAGTCTTCGACAAATTTTAAAGTTAAAATAAACTTTAGATATTTTTCGTTTGAACCTGACATGCATATAATAATACCATTACAATTGACGTTGAAGGGGTTCCAATGGCCTATATGGTGGCAGCTACTTTGTGGTGTGGTGGCTTGAGTCAGCTACTTTGTGTTGGCTATGGAGGTGGTAGGGGGTGGTGAGAGCTCGGGACAGCTACTTTTGGGTGGGCATGGTGGTGGTGGCTTGGGCCAACACTTTGTGGTGGGCATGATGGGGGTGCCTTGGGGCAGCTACTTTGTGTTCGCTATGGTGGTGGTGGTGGTGAGGGCTTGAGGCAGTTACTTTGTGCTCGCTATGATGGTGGTGGTGGTGAGGGCTTGGGGCAGCTACTTTGTGGTGGGCATGGTGGGAGTGGCTTGGAGCAGCTACTTTGTGTTGGCTATGGAGGTGGTGGTGGTGGTGATGGCTCGGGGCAGCTACTTTGTGGTGGGCATGGTGATGGTGTCTTGGGGCAGCGCTATGGTGATGGTGGTGGGGGCTTGAGGTGGCTTCGTGGTGGTGATGGTCATGGTGAGTTGGTGTAGTAGCAGGGTTTCTGT